GGATATGATTGAAGGGAAAAATGAACACCCACCCCCACACCCACACCCTAGATACTTTATATCAGAGTAAAGTAAACAACGCAGTCTATATCAACACAAAAACTACATCAGAACATACGGCAATATTTTTAATGCATTAGAGCTGTATTTTTCGTAAATACCTTTTAAAGCTGGAATACAACCAATCTGATGTAGTTTTAGATACTAATTCTGAATATGCTATTCAGTTTAATCGAGCATTTAGATAGCGTGAAAAAAAGAACGATGAAATACACTAATGCATTTCTAAAAGTTTTGTGTGATTTTGTGATTGTAATCTAAAACAATCCATTTTCTCAATACTAGAACAAAATCGAAAAAACGAGTGACATAGATGCATATCAAGCTTGACGTTCAGTCATTCTAATGAGAGATAAAACGTAGTTTCAATTTTTCTCATGAAAAGAGATATACTTTTACAAAAATATTTATTGATATATGCTTGTTTTCGTAAAAACTAAAACGTATCTCTCATTTTCAGCAGACATATGTACCTATCCACTCGTTGAACAATCTTTCTCTAAAGTTGGAGTTTAGAGACTGTTGTTAGAAGTCGATTCAAGCTTTAAAATCCGTTCCGACTTTTCAACTATTCGAGTTGTCGACTGGTGAATATCCGTATTTATCAATTATTATGCTTCTTAACAAATTGCCATTCTCACCCACACTTCATGCATCTTGAATATAACAAGAAGAGAAGATAAAACGATAAGGCTTCATATAAGACAAACAAGTCTTCTGATCAAAGTATTGAAACCAGAAATGGAATGAATGGAATATGTCTTTTTTCTGCAATGTGTACAACTATTTCAATTCAGTTTTTGTAAAATTATCAACAGGCAAGTACAGTAAAACTATGTCTATGAGATGAAATATGATATTTGACTATGTTTGCGACAATGAGAATATATTATTTGACTCCATGTATGTAGAGTCTAGATTTGATGAACAAAAAATTGTGTCTACACTAGTGCCCAATAAAGAATGAAAGCAAGTTAAACATTTTGTGAACGGAAAAAATGAAAAGAAATTGCTAAAAGATGAAGACGTGGACGTTTTCATAAATTAGATGCCATGATTTTGATTCAAATATCATTTTCATTTCATTAACTTGAATAAACTATTCATTTCATCATTTTCAATGTCATATATTTTTGCATTTTTTATCCAAAATTCATGAACAAGATGAAATTCTTGAACTCCTAAGTATGGTATTTATCATTACACGATGATACGACTATCGCAAAAATAAAATTGTATTTTTGATACATAGTAGATCTTCAACCAGATGATAAATTTCCAGTAAGCTTTGTCAAACAGACAAAATCCTTACATTTTGATTTACTTAAACTAGTATGATAGATATGCAAAGAAATGAAAAACTTCCTTTTGATTATGAACAGTAGTTTTTCTGTCAATAAATAAATTTTGACATTTCGTCAAAGAAATCAAGTAATTCTATACACGTCAACTGTGATGAAATAGGTCAATATTTTTGAAAAAGTGACCATACGATTTACAAATTTCTCCAATCTAGTAGTCATGAGGTGAAATTTTATTGGAGCATGTCAAATTTCAGCCAGCAGCTTCCGGGTGTTTCTTCTGGATTTCTGTAATTTCTGGCTGAAGATATATTTCACAATGTTGATAACAAGACCTTACGCAGATGAGCGAAGAGGGTCTAGCAAGATATTGGCAGATTCTTCAGAAGATCTGCTACAAAGCGTCGTAGACAAATGCTAGAAAGATTTGTATGAATTACAGACGAGAGTCTTAGCAAAAAGAAATGAAGTGTCAATTGAGCGCAAACTGGAAAATCAAGAGAAGTTTCGTCCAAGCTGTTTTTATATATTGCGAATGCTTACTTGTTGTATTGATACTACTTTGAGTGAAAGTCTCTTGGATATTGCTTGAGAGATAGTTGTGTGTGTAGGTGTGGGTGGTAATAAATACAAATTGGTACAGAGAGCTGAGAATGTGAATTAGCAGGTGGAGAGAGGAGAAGCGAAGTTGAACCGACAGTGGTTGCATATACATTAGGAAATTGATGGTGACTATCAGGATACTCTGTATATGAGTGCTATGGAGTGTTTTTGATGCTGAACACTACATCAATAGGATAAAAAATTTTGCTACCCAGGTGAACCTTAAACAGTCAACTGTGGATGAAATGAATGGCCGAGAATTGAAAGAAAAAAACATGTTTTTTGTTGCTCTGTTCGAGTTTTGATCCCTTCGGTGAGAATATAATTATGGTTGTGAGTGCTGATCACTTCTTCTACGTCACCCATACTGATATTCAAATGTCGCAACGATTAGATGTAGAATGCACTACGAAATGGAATAGAATTTCCTTCGATTCTGCAAGGGTAATTGTTGACGAGTTGTCTTTGTCACCGCATGCTGTAGGTCACAGTTTCTTTTTCTGAGAAGTCAGGTAGTTAAAATGTCTGATCCACAGTTAATAGAAATGATGGAATTGGTCGTTTCCCATTGAAAAGATAACTTTTTCTGCCATTACAATAAGACATTTAATAGTGAAAAACGTACCTGTTGGTCTTCGATAAATTCGATTTTTCATTTGATTTATTGTCGAATTCATGGCATTTAATTCATTGCGTGTTGCATGTAGTTCATTGCGAGTTGCATTTAGTTCAGTGCGCGTTGCATTTAGTTCATCACGTATTGTATTTAGTGCATTGCTCATTACATCGACGTCATTCAATAAGCGATGGTATTCTTCTGGAAGCCAACCATTTGCCAACGAACCATCGCGATATTCATATGGACAGCGAAGTGGCAACATGCGTACGTTCATTCGAGTTTTTACTAGAACAGAATTTGAAAACAGCTTTGTTCTGGATTTTAAAAAGCTGATTTTAACGAGTGTAACATCGATTGGCTTTGGTTTTATGATATTATCTTCGAGTTCAACGTGCTCCGACAAATACTGAAGTAACTTTTTCGCATCTTTGCGTTCTACAATTATTGTTGTATCGTTGAATCGGTTCATATCTATTTTGTAATAAATCAAATCATCATTCAATGAATCATTACCGTTCGTATTCTGAACATTAACATCGACATCAGTATCGACGTTCATGTTTGCCGAGTATATGTTTAAGAAACTGTCGTCTGTTTCAACTCCGACGTGAGTATCAATATCGATTGTATGTGTGGTATTTTGAGATTGTGCCGCTAGATATTTTTCTAACTTGTCAAGCTTTTGTTTGTCGTGAAGTTTTAAATTTTGTTTTAAAGCTTTGTCTGCTTGCGAATAATCGTAGATAAATTTGTTGGAGTCTATAGCATCTTGTTTCATAATTTTATTCAGAACTTTCGATAATCGATCGGGCCGTGTTAGCTCAGGTGTCCAATACAGCGATTCCCAAAGTTGATCATTGGCTATTGAGAGTTGAACTTGCTTATACTGCAGTTGACGATCAAGCAGTCGATTAATTCCAACCGGATCTGATATGCCTTCATAACCGTCTTCAACTCGTAAATCCATTGTAATTTGATCCATGATTTCACTCAAGAGATTTTTATAGTCATCGCCAGTCAAGGCGACTGTGTCCTGATGATCTGAAGAAAATTCAGACTTTATTTTATTGTACATTGAAGTTTTCGTCACATGTTCAGTGGTGACTTCGAGAGTTCGAGCTGTTGTCTGTTGGCCGTGTAATGAGTACTGAACTTCAAAATTTGTTAAGCGGCAACGCGAAATAATTGAATTTTTTAAGTTTTTACAAACGGACATACTAGACATGTATAGAATAAACTCAATCGTTTGTCGAAATTGTGTATTACTATGCCATTCACTATTCAGAATGTATTTTGTTTTAGACTCAGGTGTTCGAAGACCTTTTTGAATGAGACGGATGGAGTGCATTGGCAAAAGTGAAACTCTACAATGTTTAGTAAGACAAGTATCACTCTTGCTTTTAATATGACGTTTAACAGATTCGAGTAAATTCGTAGAATAGAGCGAAACAACCAAGATGAGTTCCGTGTAACCACTCAAATCATTGTAGTTACAATCAGTTAAATTTGGTTCAAAATGTGGAAATGGTGCAAAGAAAAAATCGGATGGATTCAGTTGATTTTGAAATAGAGTGACTTCACCATCTTGATATTGAAATCGGTCCACATCACTTGTTATAATTTGTTCTGTATGTATATTATTATTAGCACTTTGTTTGTTATTATCATCGGTCATAGAATGCTCCGAATTTTCTTGTGTAGCAGTGCCAACGATCAACGCTATCGTGCCAAGGAAAATCAACATAGAAAACCACTGCATTTTCTAAAAGGACATTAAAACTGTTTTGTATTCTTGTGCGTAGTGATTCTGCACAAAATATCCACATGCTTCTGATTCTCTAAAAGAAGCCTGTTTTGTCTTATAAAACACAATATTAGATAAATAGAAAGTAAGCGAGAAAACCTCAATACTTTATAAATTCTCAGCTACTGGTACTACAGAATATTTGAGAGCTTTTCTCTTTTATTTGATTTGATCTCTAGAGCATTGGATATTATGAAATGTCTAACAACACAGATAGAAATATTCAAGCCTCCGAGCGAAGATTTTTAATGAACCGATAATTTCTGTTATAGAACAAAGATTAGAGGTGCGACATTTTCTTTAGCTTAAATTTTATTCTAGTTTTTTCATCACTTCTATATTACGTAAAAAAAATAAGTATTAACCATTGAATTTGATGCTAATTTTTTTCTTTTGAAATTCTCAACTCTGCTGATCTAGCTTTTCGTAATGACTATTAGCAAAATGTCATCGACGTTTTCTACTTCACTCTGAGTAAGACAATTCTTAGTTTGGATTCTAGATATAAATATGATGTTATTGCATCGTATTTGTATTACTATTGATCATACCTGAATGTGAAAATTAATTGTAGACAATGATTACGCGAGTAAGGGCTTTTCTTCGCGAGAAAAAATGACACGAATTGATCGCATAGTCGTCACTTGCTCATGTCTTCATTACCTCTTTGCCCTTCATCTCTGCCAATATTGACCTTCTTTTTTTATTGTCCTTGCCAATATTTTTATTTCTTAATGAATATGCAACAATTAGAGGATGTTTTATTGCTTCGTTAAACTGGTAAGTAAAAATATAAACTTAGTCTATGAATTTTATTAATAAATACTGCAAGTTAAATACTATTCATTCGAACGTGTCGGTTTGGGATACAAAAAAGAAACAATTTGATTCGATCGTAATTCTAACATTTATGTCATTCTGTGACAGATTTTTTTTTGTCGAAAAATACTTGAAAATAAAGTCTTAAATGCTCTGGAGTATCAATCTGTCATTTTTTTGACTTGACTAAAAATGGAATATTCCGAGATGATTCGCTCCGTTTGCTCCCATGTTTTGCCCATATGTAGAAGATTATTAAAGTAGCGTAATCTTCAAAGGATTCCATCTCATGTTAAGATTGCTTCGAAATAGTGATATTTTAGTGGATTTCTCAAGGGGGAAACGGCGGATTTCCGGGATTCCGAATCCCATGGGAATCTTGGGAATCTTGGGAATCCCATGGGAATTCTTGGAATCTTGGGAATCCCATGGGAATCTCGGGAATCCCATGGAAATCTCGGGAATCCCATGGAAATCCCGGGAATCCCATGGGAATCCCGGGAATCCCATGGGAATCCTAGGAATCCAGGGAATCCTGTGCTTAAGAGCCATCAACAGATAAAGTGATCATCAAAAATAAACAGGGCAAACATACTAGTGATGACGATGATGATAAAGAAGTTGACTCAGAACTTGGAGAATTAGAACAAGACTCTCAAAATCAAGGGAGAAACGGCGGATTTTTGGGATTCAGAATCCCTGAAAATCCGATGAAAATCCCTGGAGTACAATGGGAATCCCGGGAGTACAATGAAAATCCCAGGAGTACATTGGGAATCCTGGAAGTACGATATATTTTATAGTGGTATCCATAAATCTTCAAGAGGTTTTTAGTGGAAATACTCGTAAGTCTTCATGGTCCCTCTTATGGAGGATCTATAAGTTGTCAAGGGCTATCTTATTAAGGTAGTCATGAGTCCTCCAGAGCAGTCTTATGGAATACGTATAAACCTTAATGGCCTATCCCATGGGATGTCCATAAGTGATCAAGGGCCAACTTATGAAAGTACTTATAAGTCGTCATCACCTATCCAATTAGGAGCACAAAAGTCTTCAAGGGCTATCATATTGAGATGTTCATAAGTCTTTACAACTTATCCTTTGAGGCACTCACGAGTCATCATCACTTATCCCGTTTAAGTATATATAAATTCCCATAAGCTCTGCCATGGAGATACTCATAAGTCGTCATGGGCTATGCTATAGTGCATATATAAATCGTCAATAGCTGTTCTTTGAGAGTGTTCCCAAGTCATCATAGCCTATTCTTTTAAAGGATACATAAGCCCTCAAGAGGTACCCTATGGGACTAATGATATTTCCTTAAAAGCTGTCTCCCAGAGTAGTTATAAATAGATATGTGACAGCACCAGTTCTATCCTCTGAGCTGATGCTGGATGGTCAGCTCTCGTTCGCATAAGTCGAGGCTTTCCAATAGATATCTGATTGGAGTCTCACAAGGTGTAGAGCTAAGGCTATCAGGTGTCCAACGCAGAACGAATTTCTGTTTAAAAAGGAACCCAAAGTTGATCCAAGCTTGGCGGACGAAACTCCCTCGATATA